TTTATGCCAGAAAATTCAACCGCTAAACCATGGCTACCAATCAATCAGAACTACAAGGATGTGAATGTGGCAACACAACGGCAAATACCACGTAGCACATTGAACTTTTACAAACAATTGATACAAATTCGTAAACATGATACGTTTGTGTACGGTTCATTCAAATCGACTGTTTTGAATGAAAATGTGTTTGCGTATGTCAGGTAAATTGTATATTTGAAATTAAAAATAATTTGATTACGCCAAGACATTTCTGATTCATTTTATTTCAGAGAGCTTGAAAATAGTGACACTTACTGGATCCTCATAAACTTTGGAATTCGTGAAGAGAAAATCGATCTGACTAAAAGTAATCTGGGTAAAAATGTGAAAGAATTAGAGCTGGCTCTCGTTAGCACTGATTCATGCTACGTGAAAGGGTAAGCGCACAAATCACTTGCACATTGTCACTTATATCATTTTTGATTTAATTATTCATTTTTTCTTTTATTTGCAGTCATATTGTAAAATCCAATGAAATTGTCTTAGGAAGATATGATGCAATTATATTGAGAGGTGCTGTTCGTCATTCATCATAAATATTAACTTTTAAACGATTTTGTATGAAATAAATTATAATGTACTAACGTTTACAATGACCAAATAAATTTCAAGTTAAAAAAAAATAAACATGTTTTAGTTTTTATACCTGCAATATTTTCATAAATTCATAACAGGACGATTTCTTTGTTTATGTCTGCACTTATAAAACATTGGATTCGTTCATCCTTCAAATAAATGTTCTGAAAGAGGGCAATAAACTTAAAAGGTCATTGAGAGAGATTCTATCCTTATCAATTAAACATACATGTTGTCTGATTTTTGGTGGCTCATTTTTATTGAAATCAAGTGAAGCAAAATTAGTGTTACGGAATCATTATCAAATTCTTCTGTGAATGAATTTAATCAGTTTGGATAGAAAAAAAAATACATTTTTAAAAAGATTTCTTAATTCAAATTATTCTTCATTCTTCGGCGATATTAACTGCTGGTTTAATCGACACCAGTGTTTTGGCGATGATCGATTGATATACATAGGCCATATATGTTGTAGTCTGCAGTTTGTAGAAAAGCTAAAGAGCAACATGCATATTAACTGTCTATACCTTATTGTTGTTGTATACAGAATTTCACCACAGTTTACTTTTTAGTTTGGATTCAATTGTAAGTGGTTGCATACTTTTCAGCGGTAAAAGATTGTAGTAAAAGCTTTCGCAAATTTTCTGCCAGTGAACATTATTATTTTTCAGGGACTACCGCGACATATTTATAGTAAGATATTTATTTATAATATTTAGAAATAAGTCTTA